CATCTATATCTATATCTATATCTATATCATCTATATCTATATCTATATCTATATCATCTATATCTATATCTATATCTATATCTGTCTGTCTCTGTGTGTGTGTTTTCCAGCATAACTCTCTAACACCTTGAGCAAGCTCAACCAAATGTGGTACACAGATGACTTACTCTCTGAAAAAAAAATACTGTAGGGGGTAATACACCCCTAACACCCCTCGGTGTGTGTCTCTGTGTGTGTGTGTGTTCGAGCAAAACTTTGGAACACCTGGGCCGCTGAAATGAAAAGGAATGAATGAATTATATCCATAGTGTCAAATCACAGTACACAGTGATAGTGTGCATTTTGGATTCAGGTTCTGTTAAGATACAGCCTGTTGTACCTTAAAATGGCTTCTACTGTACAACACAGTGGAGTTGCCATGGCTTCACAGTACATGTGAAGGGGGATTGGTTATTACAAAAAACAAGGGGGCTCCCACTGGTAAGGGAGATTTGTTCCGGGCAACACTGGGTTATCAGCCAGTCTATAAATTCAATAAATTAGATTATAGAGAAAGCAGCTGTTTTTATTGCCATATTCTCAGAGCCCAAGAACATTTTGCTATTTAAAAGGCAAATTATGTCTAGCCAACAGTTACGCAATTCTTAGTCTTCCATTCAAGTATTAACCAGGGCCAGTTCTATTTGGCTTCTACAGAGTAGCAGAATAACAGAATTGGAAGAGATGGTGGAAGTCTTCTAGTCCAACCCTTTGGTCTCACAGAAAAAATGATTCTCCAATCTCTTCTTAAAAACCTCCAGTGTTGGACCTCCCACAACTTCTGGAAGCAAATTGTTCCACTGGTTAATTATTCTCATTGTTAGGAAATTTCTCCTCAGTTCTAGGTTGCTTCTCTCATTGATTAGTTTCCATCCATTGCTTCTTGTTGGTGCTTTGGACAATAGGTTGACTCCCTCTCCTTTGTGGCACTTCTAAAATCAACCTAGGTAACAGTCTTGCAGGAAAACTCTTGCAGGCAACACGTGATTAAATTCCAGGACTTCCTGACAATTCCAATAAATTTCTTGAGTTTAATAAAGTATATTTTTTTTTAAAAAAATCCCTTGTCTACTGATGTAAAGAAGATATACAAACCACCATTGAAATGTCATTGGATTCTCATCGTTGAAAGTAGTTCTAACTTTTCTGGAGAAGAAAGCTCTTCTCCAGGAAACTAATTTAATTGGCTATGGAGAAGACACATATGCTGTTGCTTGCATCTCAGTCTGCCAGGATCAACAGTTCTAAATGATATTATATGATATGTGATATATGATATATGAAATATATGAAATATATACATATATACATATATACATATATACATATATACATATATACATATATACATATATACATATATACATATATACA